AATTAGTTCAAGAATAACAACAAATATGGGTCCACCACCATCTGTTTCATCCTATCATCCAAATTCTGTTGCACCATCAACACCATTTTCAACAGCTGCAACACCATTTACACCACGACCAGCTGATGTTTCACATTTACAACCAAGTTTACAGTAAATAAAAATAAAAATAAATTAAATTATTTATTATCCAAAAAAATTTTTGTTTGTTCTAGAAATATTGTATCAACAGTTAATCTTGGTTGTCAATTAGATTTAAAACGTATTGCATTACAAGCACGTAATGCTGAATATAATCCAAAACGTTTTGCTGCTGTTATTATGCGAATACGTAATCCACGTACAACAGCATTAATATTTGGTTCAGGTAAAATGGTATGTACAGGTGCTAAAAGTGAAGAAGATTCATTACAAGCTGCACGACGTTATGCAAGAGTTATACAAAAACTTGGTTTTCCTGTATGATATTTATTTTAAATTTTTTTAGTTTGTATGAAAAAAAAAAATAATGATATTTTTGTTTTTAGGCTAAATTTCGAGATTTTAAAATTCAAAATATGGTTGGAAGTGTTGATGTAAAATTTCCTATTCGATTAGAAGCACTTGTATTAAAACATTATCAATTTTGCAGGTATGTATATATATATATATTGATCATATAGATTTGATCTTTTTTTTTGTCGTAATAATAACTCGTATAAAGAGTAGTTTGAATAGAGCAAAAAAAAAATTGTTTTTATTAAAGATTTTCAGTAACTGAAATCCAAAAATAAAAGCTTATTCTGATTACAATGAGAGCCACTAATTACCTACAAAATAACAAATCTCCGAGCTCTCTCCACGACATTCTTGATATTAAGCAGTCCTCTTCTGTCAAAAAATCTATTTTCATCTCAGAACAATTGATCTAACTGAGAAACTTGAGGAAATATAGATCTAGAAAGCTTAGAGCAAAAAATTTCAATTGTCAACATTTACTGCTACGACTTAACATAGTACAATTTTTCAATTTAAAATTTTTCTGAAAAATGTCGGTATTCATATCATCTATAATAGATAAAAGATGAGAAGAAGAAGAAGAAAGGAATGATTATAAATATGTGAGAGAATGAAGCCAAAGAGAAGAAAATGCATATGTATATTAGTAGATGTCTCTTCTAATAAAACATTATCAAAATAATTATATAATTAAATAAACACTGATATACAAGGCACGAGTTTACTTGTTTGAAAGCTTGCAGTGCTAGATTCTTCACTATAGGAAAAGTTCAAAAGTCAATAATAAATAATATTTTGAAAATTAAATCTTTATGATCAATTTTTAGAACTATTGTCTCTATATATAATTAATTTTTTATTTAAAGTTATGAACCAGAATTATTTCCTGGTTTAATCTATCGAATGATGCAACCAAAAATTGTACTACTTATTTTTGTTTCCGGCAAAGTTGTATTAACCGGTATAAATAAAATGATAATATTTTATAGATGAAAATTTTGTTTTTCTTTTTTTTTTTTTTTTTTTCAAGGAGCAAAAGTTCGTCGAGAAATTCATGAAGCATTTGAACGTATTTATCCAATACTTAAAGGTTTTCGCAAATAAATTCTGTTTATATGTTGTATAAAAATAGTTACGGTGATTTGTATATGTATAGATCTTTCTCTTTATTGCTTGTTTCTTAGTATATACTATACAAATGTGTTATGACAACATGCAGATTCTGCTTGTTGATTTCTTTTTTTTTCTTTTTTTTTTTATTGGTGTTAATAACAAAAAAAAAAAGATGAGATATATTAATTCAGATGGAATGTTTATTAAACAAACTTCTAAATAAATGGTATCAATAAAAAAAAAAACTATAATTTTGATTTGTAATGTTATAACATAACAATAAGAGGAATCTATTTGGGAATTTTAATGTAAGAAGGTTTTAGATATTGTTCGAGATTCAATTGTATGCTCAGTTAAATTTTGTTAACATTCGAGCATTATGTAGAACCTTCTTTTCATCACTCCTTGCCTAACGAGGGAACTATGCGAACGAATACTCGCTGCTTGAACTCATATTGGATTTACAAGGGAGGTCTCGGTAAGACTAGAAAAATTTAAAAAGGATTCGAGTTATGACCGTTTTATTGAATTTTTAGATATTTACTAAAAAAATCAGATAAAAGTATTTCTATCTGAAATTTCGCATATAAACAAATTGAATGATTAGTAAAACTTTCTAAATGTTTCAGCAGAAACGAATGTTCCGTTGTCGAAATAATATGATCATTTGTAACAAAATTCGAGTTTATTTGAAAATCGAATATCTCGGCAAAGGAACATTTTTTTTTTTGGCTGAATCTTTCAGAATATTCTATTAGTCATTTGACCTATTCATGGACAAAGTTTCAGATCAAAATATTATTATTTAATTTTCCGATAAATACTTAAAGCTACATGGAAAATTCAATACAACGATCATAACTCGGTACCAGAAGCCCATGGACACGAACTTTTGTAGGATTTCCCTGATTTTATCCAAAAACGACGGTTATCACTTCGGGTAGTTCTCTTGTACGATATATGGGTTGGAAAACGATGGTTTTTTTTTATTTATTTATACAGATTGATTATTCTGATGTTGGTGAAGTTGATATATATACTACGACGGGCATAATCTATTTGCGGAGTGGTGTACAAAAAAAAAGATTCTCGGTTGCAGATGTGAAAGCAGCATTTTTCATGACATCATGAGTCGCTTTTTCTTTCGCTCCATAACATGAAATATTATAAAACAAGACGATCTTCATGTTAAAAGCTTTATTAGAACTAATAGCGAGTCACAAAGCATTAAATAATTTTTTTATCGATCACAGATAGAAATTTGTAGATTTTATTATGACTTTCCTTTCTAGACGAGATTTTAACAATAGGAATGACTAATTTCGAATCGAGTTCACTACCAATGATTTTATATTATAAAAAAGAACATAAAGATTAACAATTCTAGAAATGAAGAACTTGATTTCAAACTAAAAATAGCCGTTTTTGAAGATATCTAATCATGTATCATTCTCTAAAATTAATCTTTGATTAGAAGACTTCCAGCTTTATACAAATAAAATAATGATATAACTGTGAAAACCCATATAAAACAATCAACTTAATAATAAATTCAATTTTTATATCATTCAAGATGAATGGATCCTTTTTGATCGATTTTATCTCTTCATTGTAAAAAGACTTCAGCCAAATATAAGTTTACTAATATCATAATTAGTAACTACAGAAGCTATTCTCGTTGATGACTCAATACTAACTCTATTGTATCAGTGCCAATGAGTAAAGCGTCAAATTGATTATCGCTACTAATACTATCTTTATTGTAAGTCATAATGTTAAAAGAGGGTATGTGTTTTAGAACATTCTATTTAGCTTTAATATATACCATCAATGAAGAATAGATGATAGAGATTCATTTTTTTTCTTTTAGAAAAAAATTGATCTTTGTCTACTATACTCTCCTGTCTCGAAATATGATTTCCAAACAGTTTCTTGTTTTGATTCAATTCATGTTATTTTTTTACATGTATTATTATATATTTTTAATATAGCTTTTCATATGTGATCATCTCCTATTGGTATAATTTCTTTAATTCTATTTCATGAATAAGAAATATAATTTAATAGCATATTTATTGCATCAGTTCTTTCGAAATCTTAACGTATTTTTTTTTTGATTTTCACATTATTTCATAATGATATTGTGTAAAGAAATGTGCGTCGTTTTTTTTCTTTTTCTTTTTCTTTTTTCTTGCAAACTAATTACCTATGTGTGGTGTAATAATTGCAACTGAGTTGAGTAATTTTGCCTACTATAAAAACATCTTGAATACAGTATACAATGTTTTTAACAACATCAAAAGTAAAGTGTTATTTCAGGTAAGATTATTTTATACAGTAGGAGACTTCTTTTTTTTTAAACTGATATTGATTATATAGATTCGACACTCAGTTCATAATATATATAAATATTTAACTGAGCCAATTCTTTATATTCATATAAATAAAAAAGTAAAATAATAAATGAATGTCTATTTCTTGACAAAAGGATTTTTTTTATTTATTTTTATCTAGTGGTTCGTGGTCGTGGAGCTTCGGGTGGACGAGGTCGTGGCCGAGGTCGAGGTCGAGGTCGAGGTCGTCCAGTAGCACGTGGTGGACGTCATGGAAGTCGTCGAATAGGTCGACAACCACGAATGGATATTGATCAACAACAAGCATCTACAACTCCTATTACTGATCTTGATATAAATGGTGATTCAAAACCATTTTTTGTCAATGCAAATGTAACATTAGATCAACATATTCAAGCACAAACAACAAATTTATCACGTTATTTAGCAACTCTATTTTCACTTGATTTAAATAGTGTTGAAATTGGTCAAAAAGCTAAAGCATGTGCATTAGCTGCAGCTTGGTGTCGACATGATCATAAATTAGCAAATAATCTTTTACGTCATCGACGTTTATTTACTTTAACTGAAGTTCTTAAAGCTGTAACTATGTTAGATGCTGCAAGACAAATACGTGTTTATGAAAAAAAATTAAAACGTCTTGAATTAAATAAAATTAAACCAAAAGCAATTAAATTAGGAAAAATAAAAAATAATATTGATAATTTAAATAAACTTAAACCATCAAATGGTTCAGCTAGTGGTGCTGTTGCACGACATATACAACGTTGGACAAGAACATTAACAAAACAAGAATTAGAATATTTTGCATTACATATGCCAACTGAACCATGGAAAAAATTAGCTGATATTGTTCATTTTAATCCAACAAAAGATTTTCCATCTTTACCATGGTTTTTACCATTTTGTTTTGGTACATCAGCACCAGCTGAAACAATGGTTGCACGTTGTCGTGATTTAACAAATGAAAATGTTAATGATTTATTAAAAGAATTTTCTATTCCATATTCACATTTAAAACAATTTAAAGAACATTTAAATGAAACATCAAAAGCTAAAATTGCTGCTAAAGAAGATAAACTTGATACTATTTTATGGTATTATGAAGATTTACAATGTTCACCTGTTGATGATATTATCAGTGAACGATTACGTGATGGTGAACAAATTACTTTACCTTATGGTAAATTAATGGAACGTCTTTTACTTTGTCGAATGTTACGAGAAGGTGAATCAACAACATCTACACGTTATGGACGTCGAGGTGCTCGAAATACAACATCGAATTCATCTAATCAACCAGCACATCCAGATAAAGCAAAATTTTATTCAGATTTATTGCCAGTAGCACAAGCTCAACTTGAAAAAATTAAATTACCATTAGAATCCCCTGTAGCTGTTATTGGTGATGCATCAGGTTCAATGGAAGTTGCTATTCGTACAGCAACTATTCTTTCATCATTACTTACGGCAATTTGTTCAGCTAAACTTAATTTCTTCAATGATAAAGTATTTGAACCAGCATTTGTTCCAAAAACTTTGGAAGATGTTTTATCATTAGCACTTATAACACAAGCTGATGGATCAACAGCAAATGCTGCTGGTCTTGTACCATATTATAATGCTAAAGAAGTAATCAAAACATTTGTTATGGTTACTGATGAAGAAGAAAATGCTAATGGTACAATAGCTGATGGTTCAACAACAAGATTTTTTGAATTATTTATGAAATATCGTGCTGAAATTTATCCAGCTAAACTTGTTTTTATTTCTTTTCTTTCTCATCAACATGCACAAGGTCAAATGTATTCACAATTTGTGAATGCAAATGTGCCAGACGTTCTTCAAGTAAGAAAATAAAAAATACAAGATTTATTATTTTTTTTCTTACTCTTTTATCGAATTATTTCCTTTTTTTTTTTGTAGTTCAAATTTAATCGTGAACGACCTGATTTAACTAAAATTGATAATTTAATTGGTTTATTATCAACAGGTTCTTCAGCTTCATTCGATAATAGTCTCGATCCATTGCAAGTTGAATTTGAACAAAATGGTATTGAATCCGTCATAACACGATTAGTTGAAAAACAAGATGAAAATTCTATGCCAATGGATGTTGAAATGAATAAAACAACAGCTGCAAATTAAATTTTGATTCTGATTATTTTCTTCTTTTTTTTTTTACAATTTTATTTGCAAATAAAGTTGACAAAATAGTTTTATAAATTAAAAGATTTTGCTATAGTCAAAGTTCAAATTTCGTGTATGGATATTATCAAGTTTTCATAATCATTTTGATAGTTTTTTCTCTGTTATTGATCTTCTGAATTTCGAAAGTTGTTTTCTCTTCGATTATAATTGATTGCCAATAGCATTGATGAATATACTTAGAAAAATATTATTAAATAGTATCTTGGAACTCTGGTTTATGATTTTATCCACTATCGGTTAATCAACAGATAAATGATAATCAATATATTTTTTGTATGCTACCAGATTTATTTTCATTAGTATTTTTATGTTCACTCTTTGAGGACGGAATTTTTTTTTTCATCAAAAAGTGATTCTTCAATCATTTTATTTTTTTAAGCTCAAAATGATTACATAAAAATCTTGTAATAATCAAAAAAAAAACAATTTTTTTTCGTCTTTTAAATAAAATCCTGACATGCAAGTGAAACATTCGATGTTTGCTTTTAACTTGTATTTCTTGTTGTTGCACTAAGTACAACTTCTTCGTATTTTTTTTATAGGCAAATAGATTTCATTCTCAAAACGAAGAATAGATTGTGAGAATGCTAGTTTGGGCTTCTTCTCAGAGGGAGATCTTTCAAGATTTATACGTTCAATGTTATAACAGAGAAACTTCGACACTACAATCATGTAGTTTGATTTTTCTTTAAATGTAAAAGTAAACAATGTTTGTTGGTTTTTACCCCTTGTTATTGAGTGTTACTTATTATTTCAAAGTTTAAAGATGAATCGATCTTTAATAGAAGAGATGTGGGTCTATTTTTATTCTAGTTTATCCTCATTTTTTACTGATGAGTGTTCTATACGATTTTGTTGAGTGGTGATTTTAAGAAAAAAAGGAAAGAAGAACGATTTTTCATTGTAAACTGTTAACTTGTCAGGTGAGATTGAATATATGTTTAAATGTTTTAATAGAAATTTGTTCATATTTAATTTTCTAAATCTTGTTACAAGTCGATAGTGATTTAAAATCATAAAAACATTTGCATAATACTCTAGACAAATTATTTTATTTTTGGTTTTTTTCTATAAATTACTAAAAGACTACAGATAGTTATGAATTTACAAATGTCTTTTTATGTTTCTTTTCTTATATTACTTTCATTATCTAACGATGAATATTTCTCTAGCTCTATTATTTATTTTAAAAAAAATGTACAAAATAAAATGATAGCTGTAGTTCTCATATTCATTGTTTTCTCGAATTTTCATTATGTACGTCTGTATTTTTTGTGTTATTTAATTTTATATCTAAATAAAATGGATATAAGATGACAATATTGAACAAAATATGAATTTATGAGTGTTTTACATAAACTATTACTGTACACTAAATCCAAATAGAAATACTCAAAAAAACATTGAGTATTATACGGCGAGTACTTACGAATTCTCGTGCTATTTTCTACCGTGAATACTTTTTGAGTATTCATTTGATGAGTATCTTCACTAGAGAGAAATATATCAATATTGATTCAACAGTAAAATATATTTTTTTGGACCTTATGAGCATTGATCAGTTTGTTTTCTTTTTATGGATGAGTATTAACATAAATTTCAAACTGTATACTCCAACATAAAATCAACTAGAGAAGAGAAGATAGTACGTATGTCATAACATAGCTGAGCATATCTTATATTCATATGTCAAATGACATTGATAATATTCCTACTGTTGCGTTCCTAAACATCTGTCTATTGAAAATATAGTTAAGAACAAAGACAAAAAAAAAGAACGAATTATCTGTCGTAATAATAAATATACATGTCATAATTGATATAAATTTCCTTAACTAAGACGTTTGTATTTTAACTTATTTTAGCTGTCATAATTCAAATTTCTTTATACTTTTTAATTTTATATCAATAAATAACTATATTAAACAAAAATATATATTTTATTTGTTCATAATAAACTTGACTTATATATGACTCATTATAATAAATATAAGATAGAATGATAAATAAAATTTACATGACTTCTGTTTCTAGATAAATCTTGATTATATTTAGATTGTGATAAAAAAACATTGAAGTTAATGAAGTTGTCTTATTTTCTTGACTATAAAAGGAATATCTGTTTTATGTTATATAAATTTCGAAGATTAATATGAATTATTCATTAAACTCATACCGAAAGGTACATTAGCAAGACTTTGTTTTGTGTTGTTGTCACTGTCTTGTGTATTTACTCATGTTATCTTTAGTTGAACATGATTTTTATGTGAATAATTAAAATTGACTTAACAGATGTAAAAATATACATTGTTTTAATCAAATTTTCTAAAGTATTTACAGGAAAAACAAATCTTTCCAGTGCACATTTTAATTTGAGATAGATCATATAAAAAAAGACTAAAGTCTTTTTTTTTCTATATACAACAGTTTTCTAAATATTTATATATGAAGAAAAAAAAGAAAAAAAAAACATGTAGGTTTGTCACCTACACATTATTTCTTGATAAGTAGTGAATAGTCTCGAAAAACAGTTTATTTTTAGAATATCTTTTCTAACATCTTATCATACAGGAAGATATTTTTCTATTTAAACCAATTACAACATTATTTTGTTATTAAATTTTACAAACAATAATGTTGCATCAATATCTACCTGCATCAGTAAAAAACTTAAAAATACAAGATGATAATATTAATATAATAACAAGACAAGGAAGAAATACAACTAAGCTAAGTTTTTGTTTAATATGTCATGATGAAGCACGTAATTTTAATTATGGTACACTTTCTTGTTATTCATGTAAAACATTTTTTCGTCGTCATAGTTCGCATATAAAAGTATAGATAAATATATTTAGTTTTTTTTTTCTTCTTTTAATGAATAGAATTTGTGATTAATTATTTTTTTTTTTATTTTTCCATTATATAGGATATTCATCCATGTCCATATGGAGGTCATTGTAAAATAACAGTACAAACACGAAAATATTGTATGTCGTGTCGATTAGCTAAATGTTTTGCAATGGGTATGTCAACAGAACTTATTCGAAAAGAATATCGAAGATCAAAATATTCTTCATCGATTAAATCAAATAGGAAATCAATAGTACGTATAAGATTATTGGATATAAATCATTATGTTTTTCGCTCAAAAAAAAAAAACCTTATAATAGATAATTTATTTTTAATCGTAAGGTTAATGTTAACAAAAATAAAATGTCCGTAAATTTTTACTTAAACTTCTATAGTAAATATTTGAAATTACAAAAAATGGGTACTTAATATAATAGATTTCTTTTATATTGTTATATTGATTTTCACCAAAATTATTTTTAATGACATTTTATAGAAATTTTATATTGAAAAAGAAATTGTTTTTTTTTTTTATTATATGCACACGTCTTACATTGACGGAATTTGACATACACTTATCTTGATAAACAGAGTATTTAATACACAAGTCCTTTTGTATACATAGATTTAAAAAGTGTCATAAAAAGAAGTTGTCAGTGCAATCGTCATTAAATTGGAATATGAAATGTTGTAATCTTATATAAAATAATATAGAAATAATTTGTATCGTATATCGGCTTGTCCAAATGTAACGCTATGACATTTTGACAAATTGCTTTGCAGTTATCTCGAAAGGCATAAGGGCTGATAAGGTCGTTCAAATGTCATTCGACGCAGCTCATCATACTCTATTCATGTTGCAAGAACGGTCTAGTTTGACTGAACTCTCGCGTTTCTAGAAAGGTTTTATCATCGCGTAACGCTGTGACAAAAAAGAACCCTTTTTCTCTAGAGCTGCTTATGAAACTCTAATTTTTTGACAAATTATTTCTTTAAATGAAACGCTTATAGTGCTAGTTTTGTAGAGAATTGAATGAGCTTTCAAGCAGTAAAAAATATTTTTTCTAAACTATTTTTGCTTAGATAAAAAATGCAAAAAACAAACGTAACGTTGTGACATGTTTTTTTGTCGACCAAATTTGAAGCACTTAACATGCTTAAAAATATTTAATGTTCACATATATTGATCACTGCCTTACATATATCGTTCTGTAAAAATATCAAGTTGCTACATCGAAATGGGAGTTCAATAATTGTACGGTAAGTTAGAAACTGTACAAGAGGTTAGAAGTTGCTCTGAGGAATGAGAGTAAAAACTGAATAGGCCAATCTGTAGAGAATCAAATTCTGCATCGAATGGTATATTACTCTGCATTTTAGTTTTAAATTTCTTGGTTAGAAAATTGAAAATACGATTTTTGAAAACTTTAAAACCCGGTTTTCGATGTCGAAACCCAATTAGTTTTTAGAAAAATGTCCAAATTCATAATCAGTGTAAAAAACTGTACCGTAAAATTCGCTTAGATGTGTCCGTATCGAAAAAAAAAATTTTTTTTAACTTGGGCAGCGAAGTAGCGCGTTACGTGAACAAGCCGATATAGATTTCTTTTCAAATTCAAACTTCATATTATCATTTTGTTGCAACGAAAAAAAAAGCCTAAATAGATTCAAATCTATAAGTCTATATTATTTCGATTTTAGATGAGAATTTTCCTTGTAAAGTTGATTTCTAAGTTTTTCTTGTCAGACATAATATCTATTCATGGTCGAATACATTTCTATTGACTAGAATTCTTGATGAATAGAGACATAAGTCTAGAAGAAAGACTTATTTATTAAAATTCTTTTTGAGAGGTTTTCTAATCTCATCGAGATCTTAATTATGTGTAATTGAGATAACTGAAATTTTTCATTTTATAATAAAAATCAATTCATAAAAATACTGCTAATTATAAAAACAAAAAAATTTTGTATTTAGTCAATTCTACCAATCACTTCATTAAATTTATTAAACAATGATCAATCATCTCTTAATAGTTCTGAATGGAATTTATTATCAAATGTAGTTCATGCTTTTAATAAATTCAATATGATTCCATCAATACATAATATAATGAAATATTTAGATCTCATTGAACCTACAATTGAAATTAATATATCCGATTCATTGAATCTATTTAATTCATTTTATATGTCAGTAAAATCATTCGTTAGTGTCACACCTGATTTTCGTATATTAACTGTTGCGGAACAATGCTCACTTTTTCAACGTAATTTAAATGGTCTATTTAATCTTTATGGTACATTAATGCTACGCGATGCTGGAATATTTGATAATATTAGAAATGAACGTATTTTGATACCTTTATATGGACATGAAGTTGTTCGTCAAGCAAGAAAAATTATTATGAGACTTGATTTCGATTCGACAATTGTTAAAATTATTCATATGATTTTTGCTTTTTCTACGAATTGTTATGCAGTCGATTATGATCCACATATGAATAAAGATCCTCTTCTTCCAGGTACTTTTCGTTTATTTGGTAGTCAAAATGTATATACTGAAATATTATGGAAATATATGATATATCGATATGGTTATAAAGAAACAATTCTTCGTTTTGCAGCACTTATTAAACAAATTCTTGATCAAATTATGGCCACAACAGATATTTATATCAATAATCGACATCATCGAACACTTGTGGATGATTCGATTAAAGAAGCAGAAACTGCAGTTATTCTTAACGAAAAAAATCTTACTCCATTATGGGGAAAAGACAATCAATTTGACTATTAAAAAAAGAACAATTACTTTGACTTTGTATTAAAAAACAAAAATAAATGAAAATTTTCTTTCAATCAAAAATTTATTTGAATGTATATCTTAGATAGACTAAAATTTCTTTTAATTTATTTCTAACAGATTATCAATATATATTCATTTTCTATATCAATTAAATCTAAAATATGATATTGATATCAATAGATTATTAGATATTGAATATATGTGAATATTGGACGTTTTTATTACTCAATTGATAAAAACTTTATAAAAAAAAAAATCTCTCAAGTTCAATTGATGATGAAATCAATTTGTTTATTGATGCATTTTGTCTTAATATAAATGTTTAAATTTTCTGATTGAATAATCTTTATGTAAAATTTCTTTTTTTATCATTTAGAATTCAATTTGATAAACTTAAATAACTTCTGCAAATGCAAATAGAATCGAATTATTTTATTTTTTTTTTGCTGACAATAATATGAAGGAACTTACAGTTTGAAAAAAAAAAGAATCATGTAGAAAGACTTCTCTTTTTTTTGATAAAAAAAATTATCTATGATTTTATTCAATATAAAAAAAAGAAAAGATTGAGTCAGATGGATCATTGTTATTGTTCTGTCTGTCGATCGAAAAGAAATAAAAAAAAAAAATGAGTAACCATTGTTGAAGGCAACAGATGAATACATATTTGACCCACCGGTGCACAAAAGTCAAATAGTGTAAAGATAGTAATTGTTTGTCGCCATACTCTATCTTTAAAAATTTACATAACTTTCGAATATAAATGTCTATATCGTCTCGTTCGTGTCAAAACGTTACCGTTCATTGAACTAATTTCACTATTACGTACAATGTAGACGTCGTCTCATCATCATAACAAATTGAAATATGTATATATATATCTATCTTCGTTTTTTTTTTCTTTTTGTTCTTCTTCTATATCAAAACAAATTATTTAAGATATACATTCTTTTCTTCTAAACGAATATCTTGGCACTTGATAAAATAGAAAAAAAAAAAAAAAAAACTATGATATTTATATAATACGTGCGATGATGATGATAATGATGATGAAATAGTCGTCTCATTCTGTAAGAAGGATTAAATAGAAATAGATAGTGTTTGACTTCCTACGCATAATCTATGCTTTTCTTTTTTGTTTTTTTTTTAATTGTTCATTCATTTATTTTAGTGTAGTTTAAACAAATACATTCACTATCTCTAAATCCTTTCTTTTTCCTTTTTTTATTCTTAGTGAACATTACGATGTGGGTGATGAATATAAGGGCTTCACACCATCTTTATACATGTATCAATATGTAATCGCGATCGAGGATATACATAAGCAAGGAGAAAAAAAAAAAAAAGAAGAAAAGAGATCGAGTTTGCTTGATTAAGATAAGCTTGATTGTTTGAGATGCGGATGAAGACGACAGGTGTAATGTATAGTGTTGACCTCCATATATTTTCTTAAGACGACAAGGGTATACCACTTATAATTTTCTTGTCATACGTATCGTGTGTATATATGTGATTTGACCCGTTGAGAGCAACAAATGAACGATCGTATAGTATAACATATGAAGCATTTGAGTTGTTGATCAAACGAAAAAAAAATAAAATAAAAAGAACTAAATTGATCTATTATTGTCTCTTGTCATTAAGAAAGAATTTTGATAATATAATCATTCTATTTAGAATTATTTTGAATATTTTATAAATACAGGTAGGTCAGATTATTATTATTATTATTGATTTTTTTTCTTAAATGATATTAAAAATTGAATTCATTACAATATAATAGTGTTAATCCGAAGAGAATGGTTTGTTTGTTCCGTAGATTCGTTGACATTATATGATCCATTTCTATTTACAAATCTAATTTAACTTTTGCGCTTCGTTGTGAAATGGATATACCTTTTCTCCCTCATACATTCGTTCGCACGTTTAATGACGGTGTCAATTGATTAAAAGTCTGAATGAATGAATGAATGAATGAACGGATATTAGAGAAGAAGAAAAAAAAATACAGACGTTATATGCCAATTTTGATATGTGTGTATCGATGAAAAAGTCAAGTAGACAGTGTAAGTTATACGTTTGTATATTATACTTTCAATAATATGAAAGAAAAAAAGAATATATAAAGATGAATAGATTTTGTTTTAGATTGTGAAATTATTATATATCTATAAACTAGAATATATGTTTAAATCAATGGAACGTATCGTATGGTTTATATTATTTATTATAATGATGATTCATTGTTTGGATGGTAAGAATGAATTTCTTCGAAATTAAAATAATTATTGTACTATGAATATTGAGTTTTTTCGAGCGCTAGTCTAAGATGTATTCAGAAGAGTGATTCACAAGATCGATCCTCTCGAAAAGATTTAAACACTAGGAGAGAAGTACATGGGACACACTTTTGATTATATGTCTGGCGATAATTATTAAAAAAATGGTCTCGATTGTTATATAAGTTTTATTTTCTTAGGTGGATGTCCACGAGCAACATTCGAATTTTTTAATAATACAATAAAAACATCGTATAATTTTATTGATTCATCTGTTGGTAATATTGGATCATTGGAAACATGTCCTTGTAAGTTTTCTTAAATAAAAATGATGATTTAATTTAATTATTTTAATTAAAAGATACTGGTCGTCCATATGTATATCTACCATGTTATCCAAATTCATCATGGGGAGATGAACCTTATTTTAGTACTTGTTTAAAACCACCTGATAATAAAGAATTAACTACAATGTTAAATATTCTTTCATCATCATCATCATCTTCTATTGATCATCCGTATGTTAATATGTCTATTGAAGAAGTTGCTAAAGTATGTTTTTTTTCAATAAACATAATTTAATAAGTTTTAAACTTGTTGGTTCTGTTTTTCTTCGTTTTAGTTACCTATTGATACTTTTTATGATGTTTCTCATGTATTGTCATATTTAAATCAAGAAACAATGACTTTAAAATCAACATCACATACTGCGTCTGTTGTAAATATAATAGATCATTTAATATCAAATAATCAAAATACGAATAATGAAGTTTGTTTTATTTAAATAAATAAATAAATAAATTCATATATCTTAAATTAAAACTATAGGTATATTCTAATATTTATTCAATTGCTAATAAATTATTATCATCAAAATCTACATTACAAATGCAACAAGCACAAAAATCAAATCGAAGTATTGTAAAGTAAATTTCAATTTTTTTTATTTCTATTCTTTTCAAATAATAATAATAATCAAATATATTCTAGATTATTATCATCATTAGAAACATTTTCTCAAAATTTAAAATCAAATCAATCCGATCAAACTTTTATTGAACATAATCTAGCTGTATCTATTGTTAATATGCCAAATAATCGTACTAAACCAATAGTTGGTTTTGCATTTGGTTTGTATTTTTAATATTGTTTTATATATATATATATTCAGAAAAATTAAGAATAAGAAATTTCTATGATGCTAATTAAAATAACTAATGGGGGAAATGTTTCCAAGTGTCAAATTGCTCTGGAGTCCAGGCTCGATGCAGCATATGAACACTCATGAGCTATGAATACTTTAGCGCTGGTTTCTACGAAAACTCATTTTTGAATTTCGACTTGAAATTCCAAAATGAGTATTTCCGAGGGAAACTACGGTATTATGCTAAATAGTATCGTAAGAGTATAATACTTCAGTAGCGACAAGCAAATAGTCCGAACTTTTCTCAATGTATTCATAGGTGGAGCTCGTCGAGTTTAAAGTTTTCAAACCCGAACTGTACTTTGATACTCTCCATGAGATTTACTAAACCCCCTCCCATAATAGAAGCCCCTCCCACATTAAAAGCCCCTCCCTTATTAGAAGCCCCCTCCGAAGGACCGACATGAAAGATGTATTAGAAGTCCCCCTTATTTTACAAACTTTTTGAAAAATTTGATTAGTATTTTCATCGCAAAACCGTCAAAATTCAAGATCTTAAGATAAGAATTTGTTTAATTTCCTTATGTACTAGTGTAAAAATCTCGAAATCTCCTTGGAAATCGTTTGAAAAACTCTAGAAAACCTTAAAAATCCCTGAAATTCTTTGAAATTCTTTTTACATCTAAAATTATTGAAAAAATTTGGGACTTAATAGAAGCCCCCTCCGAAAATTTTGGATGGTGGGCAGTTTAGAAGCTCCCGGGGGCTTCTATTATGGGAGGGGGTTTAATCGTAATTGAATAATCGCTGCAAAGTTCTCGACAGTTTTTAGAGGTACAAGGAGCTAAAAATTTAACAGATAGTCGGAGATAATCTAGAAAGTGACTTAGAAAAGCTGTCTTCTTTAACGTAGCAGACAGAGTTCCGACAATAACTCAAAAGTTTTGCAAACACAAAGTAAAAAGAGAGAGACCTAGCCAAGTCTAGTCCCTTCCTTACCGAGATCTATAAGTCGCCCCAAAGACATGAGATTCTTTTTTTCCGAGTTAGATGATTAATACACCCTACATATTTCTCAGAGGACTAGAGCCCATCGGGTCCGGAACCAATCCGACAGGCTCTATTCATATCTTATGATGAACATAGTTCTAATTCAAAAACAATTTGATACTTGGAAAAATTACTTCGTGTTTTACATTTTAATCTTGCACAGATTGTGTTAACTGTTTTGTTTTTTTCTTCATAAATCTAGATTCAATAAAAAATCAAACATTTCCAATTGGATTTGATGATATAAAAAAAAATTTAACAATTATTCTACTTGATTCTGAAGCACTTGTTGAACAAAATCGTTTAACATTTTCTGTTTATAATCATCGTAATGGTTTATTTGATGAAAAACAATATCGAATATTAACACGAATTATTTCATTAACAATTGATAAACCTGAATTAACAAAAAATCTTGGAACATTTGTAAAAATAAATTTTTTTCTTGAAAATAATTATGAAAAAAAATTTGGTAATTTAACATGTGCTTATTGGCATATATTTGATAATATGACAGCACAATGGTCAACAGATGGATGTTATTTGATTGATATAATCGATCAAAATGTTATGTGTGAATGTAATCATTTAACTCATTTTGCAGTTTTAATGGTTTGAAATGAACTTTTTTTTTTTTTTCTTTTTTATTATAAACTATTTCTTTTTTTTGTTTCAAAGGATATTGAACAAAAACCAATGCCAAAATCAATTGAACAAGTACTTTCGATTATAACATTAACTGGTTTATTATTATCATCTATTGGTTTATGTTTAACAATTTTAACATTTATTCTTTTCGAGTAAATGAAAAAATATTTTTTTTTTTTAATATTAAATTAAATTTTTACTTTTTTTAAAGAAAATTACGTCGTCATTTCAGTCAAAAATCTCTTCTTTTATTATCAATTAATCTTCTTTTTGTTAATATTTTATTTTCAATTATTAGTTTATATAGATTAACACATTTATCATGTATTATTATTGCTAGTGTATTACATTATTTTATTTTATCATCATTCAGTTGGATGTTTATTATGGCATTTATACAATATTTACTTTTTGTTAAAGTTTTTCCACGTTCAATTTCAGCATTTACACGAAAAGCAGCTGCATTTGCTCAATGTAAATTTAAAAAATCGAATTGAATTTTATTCACGAAGATATATCTAACGAGGAAAACATATCGTTCGATTTCATCTTACAGTTGCAAGTAGTTTTCTAGGAGATTTAAAAAGATTTGAGCTCATGGACTATTGATAAAGAATTATAGCTACTTTAATGAAATTTTGACTGAAAGAAAACCTAAACTGATGAGTTTTAACCTGAAATATTGCCTATAGTTAGAGTCTATTCAATGTCGAAAAAGTAACGACGTATCATAGTGAGTCTTGTTTCTGAAGCGTATATAAATTATCAAAAAAAAAAGAGTTTTAATAGAATATATTACATTGCATTTCGTAGAATTAAGACAAATTGATTCTAATCCCAAAAGGAAAAATATTTTTGACTAGAATAGAAAGTAAAAGAGTTAATTTTATTAATATCTAATAGAACATTCAACAACTAAATCAATCACAGTAGACATGTATCAAACCCGAACCTTCGGGTTTAGTCTGATATAGATAGAACAGTTTGACACATTTCCTTGTTTCTTACTGTCTGTTATGAAGCATTTAGATACAAGCAAAAATCTTTAGTCGTATATCTGTCTAATGATCTTCTCTTTTGTATGAAGTAGCTATTGGGATTTCATACAGAGCTCTCGATGTGGGGGAGGGGCTAGGGGGCTGGCCCCCGCACAAATTGAAAATTTATTTTACTATCTGGCAAATTTTTAAATACATGCTGTTCGAAGATCTTCGCAAGCTACCTCCTGCCTTGGCTCCGGTTTTGTTTTTGTGTATAGAACTTTTTTCTGAGATTTGGCTCATCCTTGAAGGGAGATAGGGGAATCTTTCCAAAGCTACCCGCTCCCTCGGTCATCAGTTTTTATGAAAAACTTGGAAATTTTCGGTAGCTATTTCTGAAAAGCTTTCGTTAACAGACTATCTCCGAAAGTTTATAAAAAGTGTCTGCTCTCCCTCTCCCACACTCTCAAAAATAATCGAGAGCCTTGGATCCATAGAAAGCATAGATACAATCTGTTCTAACGTTTTCTCTTGAAGATGTTGTTTACAAATCTGATAGTTGGTAGTATGTGACAAGAGGTCTTAGCTTAGTACTAAAACTGAATTAGAGTTGATATCTCAATGTTGTAGTGAATATGAATGTCAATGTTTCAGTGACTATGTGTCGGTGATCCACAGTCACTGTTCCCCCCCCCCCCCCCAATACTAGATTCTCTACTAAACATTGCGTATAAGAAAAAGTCCTTAACCTCAGCGTTAGTCGATTTTCAAATCATTCGTTCGATAATATATTGAGATCATTATGTTCATATGATAAGATAATGAATATGTAGCAAAGGGAGTGCCAAGTATTTGTCATCAGATTTATTCGCTGTTTAGAACTACACTTTGTAAAATCATATGTTTATAAATAAATACGTCTGAATACTACTATCTGTCAAATTACTCTGTATCAGATATGTAGGAAATTATGGACTATCTTTTTTATGCTATTGATTGAAATCTATAGTCTCATTTCTTTTTTTTCATATTTTACAGTAATTCCATTAATTCCCGTTGGTATTGTTTTGGCAATTGATCCATTAAATTATACCAAACGAACTGATGGAATGTAAGAAAAAAGAAATTCATTTTGTTTTTTTTTTTGAAATTAATTACTAAATATTCTAGTTGTTGGCTATCTGATCTAGCACTTTATTTATCATTTATTTTACCTATTATTTTATATATTATGATAAATAGTATCCTATTTTCAATTGTTGCTCATTCACTTTTATGTGGAAAAACAGGTCAACAATTACATGGTACACAAATGCCTGAATCACAACGTTTATCACGTTTTCTAGTTGCATTAAGTTGTTTTGTTGTACTTGGTCTTACTTGGATATTTGGTTTATTTACTATTGGATCGATGCGTTATTTATTTCAAATACTTTTTTGTACATTTGCTTCATTAACAGGATTTTTCATTTTTCTTCTTTATATTATAACATCAAAAGCAAAACGAAAATGTTGGAATAGTATGTTTATATATATATATAATCCTTTGTTGTCTTTTTTTTTTTTTAATTATTTAGATACATTTAAATCACTTGGTATATCATCAATTTATTCTCCAACATTATCAACATCTGGTTTAAATGGTAATAAAGAATTTTCAACATCATCAACAAATGATCAACAAAAAATTCCTTCACGTCTTGTACAATTTCCATCTCAACCACAACATTTTATTGATGCATACATGCCATCATCACCACCACCACCAGCACCACCATTACCATTACCACCATCATTTTTAATTGAAGGTGATGATCCATTAAATAAAACAACATTTTATGAATCTAAACATGTTTGGATGCCACCACCACCAACAAATTATATTTATGAAGCTAATCAATTAACAACATCATTAGATGATTATTCTTTATTTTATGCTTCGAATCATGATGCTACGAAGCTTTAATTCATTTTTCTTTTTTTGTTCTACAGTCAGATGCATGTATGCTCAATAATCCGGTTGTTTGTTTGTTTTAATCCATTTGTCTTTTTTTTTGTTTTTGCTGCATGGGTAATTCTTTTTGTTTAATGAAAACCAATATTCGAGAAGATTTACAAATGATTAATGTCAGAAGTGAAGAAAAAATATAATCGTTTTTTTTCATTTTAATTTAATTGAATAATTTGTTCTAATCTTGATTTTAAAAAAAAAACATCGAATCTGCAGATCTATATATACATAGGGTAGTTAAAAAGTTCTAGTAATAGTCTTCTAAAATTTCATCCTGATTGATTTTATTTTTGATGTTGGCCTATTCTAGTGATGAAATCTTTTATGTGTTAAAATACTAATACGAAGTTTTACAAGTGTCTATTATGACAAATCTTTAATCAATTTTTTCAACACTTCTGTTCTCAGATGGATAAACTTTGTATTCGCTTATATGTAAAAATTCGTTGGTTATTAAGTTTAAATGCTACACAAATTCATAATGAATTAACTGCTACTTATGGACAAGGTGTTGTTTCATATAGTAAAATTACTCATTGGATTGATCGATTTTTAAGTAGACGAGAGTCATTGGAAGATAACCTTCATAATAGTCGTTATTACTAAACAAAATATTGATGCGATCCAGGACCTGGTGAATGATGATCCACATTTTAGTATCGATTATGTTACTACCATCTCAGACACAGTTATCATATAACCCTTTCCAGCCGGCTGCTAGAAGACAAGTAACAAAAAAGTCTTTTTATGGATTTTCGTTGTTCCTAGACCAAGGAGATAGGAAAAGTTTATTTCTCAGAACCAATAAGTGCTTCGGCATCTAATGGCTTCATGTATCCATTTGGATTCATCCGGCCACTAAGGGACAAAAATTTTGAAAAAGCCATTTTTTTTTTGTCCAGCAAAATTTGATATTTTATGGTTTTTCTTGCATCTATATTTGTAGATGAAATCACACGTTGCCTGTTTGTCGATGTTTTGCAGTCCAAAGCTTAAATATTTCTAGAATGTTCTAAGATTCTGCAGTATAGTGCAATAGTAGCTCAATTTTTTCCGAAAATTTCAATAGATTCAGGAATATTGTAGAGAGTTGCTGAATATTTCGTGATGGCCTAGTTTGTAACACTAGAAAATGTTCAAAAACTCTTTAGAATGTTTCTGAATTTCTAAAAATTTTCGAAAAAAATTGAGCTACTATTGCACTGTACTGCAGACTCTTCGAACATTCTAGAAATATTTAAGCTTCGGACTGCAAAACATCGATAAACAGGCAACGTGTGATTTCATCTACAAATATAGATGCAAGAAAAACCATAAAATATCAAATTTTGCTGGACAAAAAAAAATGATTTTTTCAAAATTTTTGTCCCTTAGTGGCCGGATGTATCCAAATGGATGCATTCCCATTTTTTATTATTCGAATTTTTTAAATAATCCGTCTTAGTGATTCAATAGACAGTAGGTCTATGAAGGAAGATTAACAACTGCTTGCTTCGAAGTTTGATTATTTAGAGACACGAGAAAAGGATTATTTCTATACGAACGCTATTCTGGAGCATTTTGGATAGAGCCGGCCATTTTCTTAGTGAGTATTATTTTCTTCTTCTAAACACGTGAATGTGTGTTGAAATGTGTTAACTTATTTATCAAATCGTCAAAACATTTCATATCATCACTACAAGTTACTTCTTCGTAAAATATTGGCTTCATGTATCTAAATGGATACATCCGGCTGTAAAGGGATAAACTATCGTGATAAATATTTGAAGATTTAAGTCAAAAATTTACATAAGAAAACAAAAAAACATCATCAACAACAAGTAGCATAAATTTGCATTATAAAATTGCGAAATCACATATTGAAGATATTACTCTCTATATTTATTATCCTCAAGAAGAAAAAAATGAAAGTTATGGCTCATCTACCATAGTCACTTGATCGTGCTTCTTCAGACTTTTGATTGCTCGATTGTCTAAAACGCAGCTTTGATACATATTCAGATGCTACAAATTTAGCTAAAGCAATAACCAACGAGTTTAATTCAATATCTATTCAAGAATACTGAAAGACATTCCAGGAGTGAATTGAAAGAATGAAACTTTGTACTGAACATCATGGAGACTACTTTGAACATTTACTGTAAAAAGATTAGCAAAATCTTTTTTTCTATGAATAAATATTTGAAAGTCCGAGAATTTATCGAGTAACCTATGTATATAAGCAATGTAAAAGGCATAATTTTATCATAGCCATGTCTTAGGATAAGTCTCAAATCTCGTGAAGACCTATCTCGATGTAAAGTTTCAAGTTAAAATTCTCAACACGACATTGACTTACAAAAAATAACCGTAAAAATGCAGTATTATCATAAGAATAAGCTAAGGACTCAAACTCTTTTTAGGGTATTCATAGCTCATTAGAGTCTACATAATATGTATAGTCCCGACTCAAAAGTGATTAATCAATTGGAGGACTTCCCACGTTTAGTAAGTAGAATAAATGATTGATCAGGTATTAATTTTGTTTGTTTTTTTTTTTATCAAGGAAAGTAATGTTTATTGTTTAGAATGGAATTTTTCGAAAAGAATATGTACGATAAACAATATGATAAAAACTAATTCATTTTTGTAATCTGTAAATCTTTTAACACAAATAAAATTATATCGATCTATATGTTTTGAAAATGCATTTTACAATTTACTCAATTGATGAAATAGAGTTCATATCGAAATTACTAATCATAATGATGATTATAATGAAAATTAATATGCAAAAATTAAAAACGAATATTTCTGATCTGCTAGTTGGTTTTTGAATAATACAAAAAGAATCTATCTTCCGATTATTGTTTCTGTATTATAAATAAACAATGATATTAATTAATTTTCCATACAAAATAATTATCTTTACAGTTGTAATAGATATCGATCTAAACGGATCAGACTGACATAAGTCATTCTTTACTTGTTAGATTTTATAACAGGTAAATGAATCTCTTGATTAATCATCACTGTCTCTTATTCAATACAGGAATGATGTAAGAAATATGTGACATTACTAAAAAAGCTTTTCATTATTTATGTTCATAAATTTTCTTTCGCTTGGTATCTATTGGCAAATACAAAAGCTTCATAGGACTACAAATTCAATATTAACTTTGTATACAGATTAAATATTCGTTAGACACGAGTATTATTAATTAATTGTATGCTTAAGCTTCTTCCTACGTTAAATTTGCATTATTTTATCGTTTTTTTTATTGTCTATGCGAATAAATCTATGATAAATTACAATGTTAAATAATTATTTGATTATATTTCGATCAGATGACTTGATATGAATTTGAGTTGATACAATATATTTTCATGAAATACAGTAGTTTGTTGTACGTTCTCCTAGAGAAATAATCTTCAATATCAATAGAAAGTATTTGATTTGCGAAAAAGAAACATTTTTTTAAGAAAGGTCAGTTACACTCAAAATGTTTTGAACTGTTATAAAACAAAAAATCTCTACAATCTTTTATTATTTTCTGAACACACGAAAGATTGATGTAAAATTACGAATAACCTCCGAATTACTTTTCATAATACAACAAATAGATTTTGTATTTCAAATTTTATAATTCAAGACAATACATAATATTGAACAAACAAACAAAAATTCTCAGGCTAAATAATGAACATTGAGTGAAAATATGTCCCTATTTGTTTTCGTATCGCTTCTAGATAAAAAAAAAAGAGTAAAAGAACACTGTTGTATTATTCTTTCGAAACAATATCAATTTAAGTTTGTCTGATAGATTGATCAATGCATATGAGAATAGATTATCAAAAGCAAATGCTTGTTTTCATTCACAATCGGTATGGTACTCATAAAAATCATAGTAGAAAATTTCTATTATATTCAAATGGCATTAAAATGAATCTTATGAGAGAACCATTCTAAATGATAAATTAGAACTCAGTCAGATATGAAAATCCCCAAAAGGATGAATATCCTTAGATCTTCCTTTCAGAGTTATAGCCATTTTAGGCTATAGCACGATATGAACTAACAAATCGAATGAAGAGTATATTCGACGTGAACTTTGGTCTACTTATGACTAGAATGTCTTACCTCGAGAGATATTCAACTTTCAAAAATCACTCATGTCCCGCCAAGAAAACTGAAATTTCTTCGACATTCTAGTCACAAGTAGGCCTAAGTTTAGGTCGAAATGCCCATCATTTGATTTTTTGATATACATAACTTTGAAGAGAATGTCTGAGGGTATTCTTCCTTTTGAGACTTTTCATATCTCATTGAATTTTACGTGATACGTAGAGTTCGAACTCAAAAAACAAATTTATTATTTCAAAAAATAACGTATTGCAATATTGAAATTAAAATATTTATATGAATTGACAAAATCTTATCATAAAAATGAGTAATATGTAAATGTTAGGATCTAATATTTTCTGAAATCAGAACAAATTTTTTTTATCACAAATCGAAATGCATCATCATGTGATTTTTTTTTTAATAAAAAAATTTATTATTGGTACGAAGATTATTCACCGGTAGAGCTTGGTGATTCCAAAAATTACTCGGAGCCGGAACCGGAACTGTGGTTCTGATTACTAAAAATGATAAAAAGAACCGTTCCCAAAATATCACATAAAACCAACAGCGTTAAGCTATTAGATAGACACAAAAATTTTAAATCTATTTTAAGAAATTTTCACTATTGAATTGTTGAGATTAACAACGCCATACTTTAATAAAACAATATTATACATATATATACCGAAATCTTTAATCGCAAGAATAAAAAGTGAAGATTTCTCGACATAGATTTAAAATTTTTTGCATCTATCTAATGATTTAACAGTTACATGATCAATAGATAAAAAATTCTCTGTCAATGTCTCGAGACTTTTTTTTGTCTATTCTAAAAATGAACGGTATGTTA